ATTGTTAGGAGGGAACAGCTTCTGAAATTTGGTTTGGTAGGGAGGCTTTGGATTTCTCGGAGTCTAATAATTATTCAGGTCACCTTTGGTTAGGTGGAAATGGGAGTTGGAGAGTAAGAGTTTCTCTTGGAAGATCCGTCGTGGGGAGGTGAGAGTTTGACGAGACAATGGACATGCGGCATTACCGAATAGTCGCTGTTCTCAAAAAATAAAATTTTTTATGGATGCTGCCTCGTAATTACTATATTGCCCTTGTAATACATTCCCTTGGTCAGAGTAAAATATTGTTTGTGGAAATTTTTTATTTATGAATCAATAAAGAAATTTTTTGGTTTGGAATGGTTGATGTATACCCTATCTGACAATGGTATACATAAAATAAACATTCTTAAATATAAATAGCTTTATAATGGGACGGATCTTTAAAAGGGTTAGAAGGAAAGTAAGGAGAGTGGGATAAACTTTTTTATTTAACTAATAAAAATTAAATAAATTGAAGAAAAGAGAATGGCACTCCCTCATACTAAATAGAGATAAAGAAGTGGATGTATACTAATTTGAATAATTAAAAATTTTTATACTAAGTATCCATGAAAACCAATTATTACATAAAATGAATATTTGGTAATGCTGATCAACCCAAATTTTATATTAATATAGTCTAACTCTAGGAGACTAATGTTTATTCTTTTTGAGAAAGGTATCATGACATTTAAGTTCTAAATTCTAAAACTAAGCACTACTCTTTATAAAAGAAAAAAATCCCTAAATAAAAAAGAATTATATCAAAATAAAATATTATATTATTCATATAAAATTAAACAAATAGTTATATATAGATTCAGTTGACAAATTAAAAAAAATATTTATCAATTTATTTTTTAATAAAATGAATTAATACAAATTATTTTATGGTGTTAATACAATAAATAATGCATAAAAATTATGTGATTCTATTATCATCATTTTATAAAATTATAAATGAATCAAAAAGTCCTTATAATTCAGTGTTTATTCATACCTTGTTAGGGGTATTCTCATTTTTGTAGAGGTATAAAATTCCACCCTCGTGTCCAAAAAAAGCATTAGAAATGAATCATTTTTCAATTTTTTTTTTTCTCAGATAGGCAATGAATCAATTTCCTTATTTTAGTATTGACATTCTGGGAAAAAAGAAAAGAAAAGAAAAGAAAAAAGTAACATGGCAAAACAGAGAGAGAGAGAGCATTAGTCAAAAGAAATATAAAATGGAAGGGTATTTCCGTCAACGCACCAAATTATGGAGCGGAAGGTAGCAATTCAGCACCTGCAGGCTGAAGACGGCTAGGAAGAGAGGACACATTGGGCCATCTCACACCTAACAATTTGGGAGCACCCTAACATTGCTACATACACACCCCCCTTAACATTGTTCCATGGAGTCAAGCTTGTACTCCTATAAAAGATTAATAAACAAATTTATTTTATGGTTCCCAAAGAACCATAACCAAATGTTTCTACACATTTTTTTAGTCCCATTTATTTTTCTCAAACTAAATAACCTCTTAAATTTGCTTCCATACCTTAGCTATGGACAATACTATTTTGCTATTAATAATTTAGTACCTCTAATTATTAAGAGAAGAAGATTAGGTGTGATTTGATTGAATAAAACATTTTTCCCTCACCTCTCCTCTTTTTCATTTGCCTCAAATCAAACAATTGCAACCACAATTGTTCTCTAAAAATTAATACAAACAAAGTCTAAATGTTTTAGTCATATGAATGGCGTGGTTTGACTATGATTATTATATGCTTTCTTTCTTTTTTTCATTTTATGTCCTTATAAATGTGTGTTTGAACATTTAAGGTATGGTTATTGTTATCATAAGAAGTGTTAAATCTTCAATTTTTAATTTTTATTTAAAAATAGTATCTAAAAATATTAGTTTATTAATTGATTTTAATTTAATAACTAATAAAAATTAATTATTTTAATAATTATAATCATAATTATTAATTATTTTTATCAATAAAAAAATAAAAATCAATATTTTTAAAAACAACATTTTATGTTTTTTTAATGACCTTAATATTTTGTTTAGTAACTATAACACTACCTGAACACATTGAAGGTAGCAATTAAATTAAAGACTCGTGGAACTATTTAGGAACTATAAATAGGGTGTGCAAGGTGTGTTTTTCTTACTATCAATATAATAAGATGTGTTTTATTAATGACTTGTTGATTTAAATGGAAATAATTCAGTTTTTTTTTTTAAATAAAATATCGAGTTCGAGTATTGTAAATAAAAAAATAAATGTTAAAAAAACTTTTTTTATGAGGTTTAATGTGATTTGATTTTACATTAATTGAAATCTAATGTAATTATCAAATATTGAAAGGTTAATAAAAAAAAAATTGTGTTTCTCTGTCACGCTACTAGCTAAATGCTGCATCAGTTGAACTTCCTTTGCTTGGCGTAATTTGGAATTCATACTTCTAAAGAAGAAAAAAGATTCATGGAGTGGAACCATTCAGGGCCCATATGGTGGAAAGACGGTGGTGGATGGCATATACTTCAAATATGCTTGCAGGCTGCAGCATCTCCTTTACCGTCTTCCTTTTTTTTTTTGACCTAGCC